AACACAAACAATTTCCCCCCCCCCCAAAAAACCCTGTTTTTTGGGGGGGGGGGGGGAGAGAATCCAGGACATTCTTCCTCACTAACTTTGTATGCATAGGAAACAGCATAGGCGAAAGATGCTTTCCAGACCTTCAGCCTCCATCTGCAATACGAAATGGGAGAGAACCAACCCATGGGAGAGAACCATTGCATCACATGCTACGTTCCCGCCAAGCTGAGTTAGTGTGAGCTATCTCACAATTTTTTAGCCTCCGGCTCACACATTTTTGGTTTAGCTCAGGAAGGATGACTCCAGAGCCAACTAATTTATGCAGTAGCCAAATGGCTCGCTCGCAACTTTAATGCCAGTCGCTCACAAAGTAGAATTTTTGCTCACGAGACTCCACAGCTTAGAGGGAGCATTGATCACATGTCGCTTTCAGCTGTGGTTCTCATTGGACTGATGTGGTGGCAGTGGGGAGCATGTGTGGAAAGGGCAGCATTAGCGGTAGGCTTCCATCAATGAGGAACTCTCTTGGCGAGTACTGTTTTCCCTTCCAACTCTGTCGCTTGGGCAGCTCACCAGCCGCCATCGCCAGTGAGGGCAGCGGAAGCTGCCCACAGCAGCACTGGCCTTGACAGAAGAAGAAGAAGAAGAGATTGGATTTATACCCCGCCCTTCACTTGGAGTCTCAGAGCGGCTTACAAACTCCTTTCCCTTCCCCTCCCCACAACAGACACCCTGTGAGGTAGGTAGGGCCCTTTGGTCACCACCAGGGCTCTCGGAAATGATGTGGACAGATTCTGAACGGCTTAGGGTGGCAACAGGGTGGCCTGGACACCCTGAACACTTCAACAGAGTTTTCTGCAGAAGTTGAAAAAGAAGACGTTTGGGGGACACCCTGAACACTTCAACAGAGTTTTCTGCAGAAGTGGCAAAAAAAAAAAAAAAGACTTGGAGAGGCCCAGATAAAAATGTCTGACCAGACAAAATGTCCTCCCATGAAGCCATGACGTGGTGTGGCACCAATACGACAGAAAACAGCCTGCACGGGCTCAGTCTGAAGTGTCAGTGACTGAGCTAGGAGCAATCTCAGTTACAGTCTTGGAAAGGCACAGAAGAGAGACCGAAAGCTACACATGCCAAAAATAAACTCTCTGAGAATTACATCTCTGTTTCTGGGAGGGACGAGCGAAGGCATGCGTTTGGCTCCAGCGGAAGATCTCAGTCCCAGTTGAAGAGTCCAGAAATAGCCTGAGAGTTCAGAGGAAACGGGCGACTGTTTTCCAAGAACACATGAAGCTTCCTTATACCAAGTCAGGCCTCTGGTCTCTCGAGGTCAGCATGATCTCCTCTAACTGGCAGCAGCTCTCCAGGGTTTCAAGCAGAGGACTTTCACGTCACCGACTACCTGATCCTATTGGCCAGGGATTGAAACGTGCACATTCAGCATGTCAAGAAGATGCTCTGCCGTGCCTCCCCCCTGCCACTTTTGCCCTGCCCCATCCTTCCTTCGGGCAGCTCAAGATGGCATAGATGGTTCTCCTGCCGCCATTTTTAAGGTTCACAACAACCATGTAAAATAGGTTAGGCTGAGACAGAGTGCTTGGCCCAAAGTCACCCAGTAAGTTTCACCGCTGACTGAGGATTCGAACTTCCTAGCTCGATGACACTGCATTTGCCCTGTTTATCCCTGTTCAAAATAATAGCATTGTGAAGTAACAAAACCCTTTGTCTTCGAAGAGAATTGAAATTAAGAAAATTTCACATGCCAGTGGTGTGAATGCATGCGTCTACTTCCCAGGGAATGATGAAGATGGTCTACAACAAACCAGTAGTGATGAAAGATCAAGGGAACAGCCAAGAGATCTTGGCCTGCTTTGAAGCTATAGTCCTATGTGCTCTTAGGAGCAAGTCTCATTGAAATCAATGGAACGGAACATGAAAGGGATCGGGCTGCGTATGCCTAAAATGCAAAAGATGAAAGGAAGGATGGTGGCAGAAAGGCTGTTGCACTTTTAGTAGGGGATGGGCACATCTCTGGATCCCAGGGATCCTCCAGGCTTGATACATGTACACCATGCCTGTAGTTTTTGGGGAAAACATTAACAACCAAGAATTTAACTAGTTTGTGATGATTATAGAATAGTGTCCCAAGATTGAGTGGAACTTTGCCAATCGGACACTGGACCACCTTGCCGTTCTGGTGGAGTACTACAACTCCCAGCATGCCCTAGTTAATCATCAGGCTGCCAGCATCTCTCTTCTGCTTTCCCCTCATCATCAGAACAAAGAAGAGTGTGTACAGGGGGATCCTCCTCTGATAACCTGGTCCCAGGAAGGAAGGCACAATCTCTGCAACTTTGCTTTTCTGAGTTTACTGAGCTTGTACAAGGAGACCACTTACCTGAACAGTTATTTTTTTTGGGGGGGGGGGGTGTCCCCTGGTTACACTAATGTCATTGATGGCTCTGAGGTTTTATCTGCCATAGTTTAAAAGGCAAAATGAAACAAGAGTCCAGGGGCACATCAGAGACCAGCAGAATTTATTCCGGGGTGAGCTCACTCTGTCAGCTGCCCTGAAGTGTCCCACCAGGCAAATACATTTCTACTTAATGCTACACCTGTCTGATGAAGTGAGTTCTGGCTCACAAAAGCTTATGATGGAATAAATTCTGTTAATCCCTAAGGTGCCACTGGGACTCCTTTTTATTCTGCTGCTACAGACTGATGTGGCTCCCCATCGGGGTTAAAAAAAGGCAGCTCCGAAAAATATAACAGGGCAGGATCCTATCACACAGGAAAGAAAAAGAGAAACAACAAATTATATATAACAAATAATAAATAAAGACATGCTGTTTTTCAGTGAAGGCTGTCCGCAGACGGCTTTGTCTGCTGGAACGAGATTCATGGAACGAAGACATCCGTATGCGGTAAGACATGTTTCCTCGCAGGAACAGAAGGGGACCAGTGAATATTAGGACATACCCATTTGGGGGTGAAATGCAGTTCAGAACAGTGTTCCCTCTAAGCTGAGTTAATGTGAGCTAGCTCACAGTTTTTTAGCCTCTGGCTCACATATTTTTGTCTCAGCTCAGGAGGGAGGGCTCCAGAGCAAACTAATTGATGTAGTAGCCAAGTCACTTGCCCACAACTTTAATGCAGGTAGCTCACAAAGTAGAATTTTTGCTCACAAGACCCCACAGCTTAGAGGGAGCATTGGTTCAGAATCTTTTAAAGACAACCACAGAAGATGCCTTATGGAAGCGACACAGAGACAATTCTCCAAGCCTTCATCCCATTGACGTTCATGAGGCTTAACTACCTGGTCAAGTGTCTAGTAGTTGAATTCCTGGGAATTCACTGGTACTTAGGTATAGCACTTGTTTGGAGTGTTCAAACACTCTAAGGGCCAGCAACAATTGAAGCTGGCAGTTTCAGAACAATACAATGGATTCAGTCCTGACCAATTTTTCCAGTGGCAGAACGGAACTTTGCTGGCTTCTCCTTCCCGCTGCAGCCTACTGAGTTCCACAAAATGGGACTCCTGGAGGACAGAGAACCCTAAGGAATGACATGAGGACATATGTTCTACAGCAGGAAGAGGGAATCAGTGGAAATCGCAGATTAAATCTGGATCCCGCCCAATGCTACCAGCTGCCACTGGGCATCCGCTATTCCGTGAACACAACAGGCAGATCATATTAATAACATGCAACTTAAATCAGCCATGGAAACTGCTGGCTTGCAATATCTGAAGCAGTTCAGGTCATGCCATTGATTTCCTGGCATGCAGAATGGCATTAGAACAGCAGCTGTCTCAGGCTGAAAGGCATACAGCCAGTTAGTTGGGCAAGCTTGAGCTGCGTAGTCTAATCATATTCACCTGAAAACAAATCCCACCAATGTCAACGGGGACTTGCGTGGGACCATAGTCGGTGTAGCCCTTTAAGCCACTTGGGTGCCAGCTGCTGGGCTCTGTGCCACTTGGTTCTGAAAAGCTCTGCACCACATTTGCTCCAGAGAGACGCATTTCATTTTGTCAGTGCTGCAGGTAATTCATCACCAGGGGAAATAATTGTCCCCGGAAGACAGTTGGTGATAGGAGGCAGGAGAAGAGAAGAAAGGTGCTGGACTTTTGACAAGGGAAGCTGTAAATCTGCACTACTGAGCAAATCCACGGGGCAAAAAAATAATAATAATTCCACACTAAATTATGAAGTGAAGGTTTGAGTTCTTCCAGCCACAACCACAATGGCCTGGATGGAAAGCAAACGGCTTGGAAGCTGGTGCAGAAAAGTTCCTCGAGACCTCACTGGAAATAAGTGAGCGGCTTTTGAGAAATGGAGAATGTCTGGGAGGCTGGGAAGATACCACAGGCCTAGACGTTTTGGCTTCGTGCAGTGTATTTATTATTGTGTCTTTTTAAAATCTTACTCTCTCAATCAAAAATTCCCGAGACAGCACTCCCCAGACAGTATCATCAGCCAATCGAAACAGTTCAACAAAAACAGTTTGCTTACCTCTAACTGGTGCTCTTCAAGTGGTCATACGTGCAGTTATACAAATGGGCTGGGTGCCTGAGCAGAGCCTGAAGTTGAAACTTCCTAGTGCCAAGTCTTTAGGCATGAATGAAATCCCCCGACTGCCAAGCCTGGACACGACCAAGGGGAAGGTGACACAACTTTCTCCTTAGCTCATCAGAAACAGCATTGCAAAAGTTAAAGGGCGCCCATTACGGGAGTGCCAGGTGGGTTGCATGACTGCACCAATGACCACTCAAAGAATACCTGAATACAGGTAAGCAACCTGCTTTTCTTCATGGTGGTCTCTATGCATCACACAAACAGGAACAGACAGGCAAGCTGAGGGTAGGCACAAGTGCAGACATGCAAAGAGACGGTTGAGCATGGCTCTACCAAAGGAGACATCCTTAGGTGCTCTGATGTCCAGGGCGTCGTGTCTGACAAAGGTGGAAGGTTGATAGCAGGCCAGGCTGTGGAGCTCTAGAAAAAGAAATTACTTTGCTAAAACCTGTGGTTCTTGTCGAATGTGCACATACAGACTCTCGGAGCGGTTCGTGAGCCAACTGATAGGAGAGTCTTACGGTACTTGACACCCAATGGGGAAGATGTTGGGAAGAGACCTTCTGCCACGTTAGGTCCCGAACAACAGACAAAAAGGAGAGAGTTCTCCGAAAAGTAGCTCTTCCATCCAAGTAGGATGCTAGTGCTCTCCTTTCCTTTCCTATTATCCCCTTAGAAGCTCATTGACTCACAGATCAGCAGAGCTAGTGCTCTCCTAGAATCAAAACAGTGCACAGTGTTTTCTGCACCAGAGGATGGTTTAGGAAAAAGAATGGTAGAAGAAGATCCGTGGTTGATATGAAAATTCAACACTACTTTAGGCAAGAAGGAGATGCCAGTTCCAAAAGCAGCTTTGTCTTTATGTACAACTGAGTAAGGAAGGCCACACTGAATAAGTGCATTATTTGCAAGACCTCCTGGCTGAGCACATTGCCGCTAAGACAGTTACCTTCCATGATAGTTAGCAAAGGTAACAGGTGGCCAACAGTCTGAACAGCTTTCTCATTAATTGAGAAAGCACCACGATGGAGCTGGGGATGAGACATTCAAGGGAAGTCTTAACACTCTTCTAAGCGTCTAGACCAGAAGCTGGGTAAAGAATGAACATCCTTCCATGGGTGGTCTTGCAGTTGAGATGGCAGCTAAGTGTACTCTCAGGAAAAAGTATCCTTATCTGTGAGAACACAGGTGAAGGATGTATTCAATGACCAAGGCGAGAGGACAGGTAAGGGAGTCCTATCCTGTGTAGAAGTGAATACATGGACGTGGTCATAAGAGTGTCAAGTAGAGACTTTCCTCTTGTTTAGGAGGCCCTGCTGCAGCGTTATTGGCGGGTTCACATCCGTAGAGCTTTCCACACCACCATATGAATGTTGCAGATATCCAGGTGCAGGATCTGACCGTGACTTTGAGAGAGATCATGCATTTTGGAGAGGTGCAGTTTTTCCTTGAGCTACCATGAAGATCTTGGTAATCTAGGCCATAAGGAAGTGGATAAGGATACCATTGGTTCCCTCTCCAGATATCTGGTTGCTTGGTACTTAACAGTACAAGGGAGAAGATGTAGAACAGTTTTCATGTTCAGCTGACTATGAAGGCAACGGAGGTTCTGTCCCTACTCGGCTGCAGTTAGTTGCATCCCTTGCTGTTGACAATGACACAAAGAGGTTAATTTGTGGCTTCCCCCATTTGGGAAAAATTGATTGGATACACAGAGTTTGGACATACCAATCATGTATCACAATTCCCTTCTGACAGAGAAAGTCTTCAAGATTGTGGTCTTTGCCAGCATTTTGAATTGTGTGAGCATTCATAAAGCTTGGAAAGGGGTATCGTTCCCTAGTGCCAAAAAGCCAACAGAAGTGACACCAGGATGTTCTGGGGATGTTCTGGATCAGGTCACTTCTCTTATCCAGAATGTTCTCTTTGAAGGAGAAACAGCAGCATGTTCCTGATGGTGACGGATGGGCAGTTTTATAAGAGAATGACCTCAGACCTTCTTCAGCAACAAACTGAACAACACCCCCCCCACACACACACACACCATCCAGTTGCCTTTGCTGAGACCATCAGAGAGTGGGCAGGCAAGAAGCAGACAGGATCCCGCCCATCATGCCTACACCTAGAGCTGCTGGGAACCTCCTCTCCAAGGAACTCTCTCGAAGGTATACTTGGGGATTTTGATTTCTGTGACCGGGAGACCATTTTTTGTCAAAACAGTGGTACAAGAATGTAAGAAGGAAGAAAGGAAAGCGAGATGGAAAGAAAGGAGGGAAGAAATTGCTCAGAAACAGGCCAGAGGAAAAATCTAGAGTAACCAGATGATGGTACTCACCTTCCCTTCTTTTGAGATGTTCTTCAGCAAAGGGAGATGCTCAGCAGTGAGGTCCCTCAGTGACTTTATCCCCCGGCAGTGGCAGATAGCAATTAAGTACAAGTCGTCCAGCTGCAGAGACAGAATGGGCTGTTGAGGTGACAGAGGTGAGATTCTCTTGTTTTGCCATTCCTAGTCATGAATTATCATTTTTTAGGTACACCAAGGACAGGGCAAGACAGGTGAGGCCAACAACAACTGAGATTTCAGAGGGTAGCCATGTTGGTTTGCAGTGGAACAGCTGGATTTGAGTGCAGTCACACAAGATTTTCAGGGTGCGAGCTTTCAAGAGTCAAAGCTCTCCTCTTCAGAAACGTGTTCTTCAGAAGGAAGCACTGACTCCCGACACAATACTGTTGTACGTATTTTATGAACCACTTTGTACTCTGCCACTGCCTAACAGGTTTGACTTGGTAGGTGTGCTTAGCACTTCCATAATGCATATGATTCTGACATCATGAATGTATTCAGGTATTAACTTTGGTTCATTTGTGACTGTTGTTTGAATGCATGCTGGGAAGAAGGCTGAAATGCTGATACACAGTTATGCTACCCATGACCTTGCTTGTTCTGGCCAGCTACAACTGTGCATGTTTCTAATGTGAGTTAACCTAGCTAGAATGAAGAACAGTAAGCACTCTGTAACCATATCAGTTATATAGATACAACATGCAACTTCATAGCTTCCGAAAGAAAAGTGTATTGTTCTGTTAGGAAAAGAAGAACTCTGCCTGGGAACAACCACCCCCCCAGGTCTTAACCCAATGGGAAATAGGTGATGAAATTTGACAATGTTTGATGGAACCAATAATTCTGTTTTATTTCTCTGATGTAATGTGAAGTATAAAATGCTATTTCACCCATTGTAACACTTGAAGAATCCGTTGGGTATTCAGGGTTCCAAAACCCTTGAATCTGTATTCTTCCTTATTCATTAATAAATTATTTTTTTGGTTTCCAACTCTACAGGACTGCTTGAGTGTGTTTTCTCAAATTGGCCCGGGCAAACACAATCAGGGACAGAGGTTCTGTCTTACAATACCACACTGGCACATGCTATAAGAGCAGACGGGCGTCAGATTAAGTGCTGGTCTGCACATACAGCAAGTAACCCCGGGGGGGGGGGAGAGAACAACATTTGGGGCTTGTACCATTACAGATATGGGTATGCGTGACTGAGTTTGGTACAATCCCCATGAAAATGAAAAACAGAAAATCTCACACTTAGAAAACTATTATATCAGGAAGAAGGCTAAACTGAAACCTTGTTGATGCCAGGGTTTTATGCCAGGGGATTTTATTTTTATGTGCAGGGAGAGAGGTGTGGGGAGGAGAGTATTCAATTGTGCAGTTCCCTTCCGGAGTGGTACAGTCTGGGAATACTTGTCCCACACCATCTACTGTTTATGCTGAGCAGACCCGAGCTGCCTAAGGAGATTTTGCCCAAACGTATTTGCAACAAAGGGTAGAATATTTTTGACGGAGGCTCTGCTATTTTACAGCAGGAAGCTGCATTACAGGATCATCCCTCACACTGGATAACACTACCTTCTCGAAGGATGAAGCAAAGCCTTGTTTCCCAGCAATGGTATTTTCAAACAGCTTCTCTGACAGTTTGGAAAAAGCACAAACAATGCTTTGAATTCTATAACTGAAAACGTCCGATAAGTTTCAAGATAGCATTACCAGTGCCCTGGGCCGAGTTCCAGTCGCTGCGGTTCTCTAAATAACTCCTCTCTCAGTTGAATGAGTCACTGGACAATATCGTCATTGTTAAAAATGTTGTGGGGAAAGATATTTTGGCTAGACTTCTAGCATCTCCTAGAATACGTTCTAGATTAAACATTAGATCAAACATCTGAACGCAAAACTTATTTTAGATCCCAAGGAAAGCTGGAAAACTTCTGGCAAGGTCTGTCGAATTTACAATATATGAATCATGCAACTGTGATAAAGAAGCATTCACAATTTTTTTATCTAAAGATGTTATACAAAACATTAATTTCTGAAGTGATTATTACAGGAGATAATACAATAGAAAAACAGAAGTGAAAAAGCGGGACGGTGGTCTCCGGATTGGTGCTGCCGTTTCGACAATATGTCTTCTTCCCGCTCACCTGGAGAAAATGGCTCATCCGGAAGGTGGATTCTATGGCCTCGTACCCTACTGAAACCCCTCCCCTCCATAAGACCCACCCTCCTCAGGTGGTAGATGAGGCTGAGAGAGATAAAGACTGATCCAAGTTCACCCAGTGAGCCTCGTGGTAGTATGGCAATTTGAACCCTAAATTCTATTTTCCTAATCCGAGACTCAAACTACGAGGCCACAAGTTCCCCCCATGTGGGCCGTGCTGATTTGGCTGCAGACTGAACGGACTGCTTGGGCTCTGTTGACTTAGCTGCTGGTTCACTGCTCCGACTGCCTGACCTGTTCTTACCTTGGCCCCTGTGGAAAGCAGCACGTGGCCAGAGTAAAGAAAACCTCTGGGTTCCTGCCATTTCCAAACTCGAAACGGTGGGAGGAATCTTTTTTTTAGTGCCAAGCCTTTCTGAGAACTCAAATGTCTGAGCAAGAACAGGAAGTTCCCTCTATATCCTATTTAAGCTGCTGGGATTTCAGACGCAGAAACCTCATTTCTCACTCTTAATCTCAATTTTCTATTCCGTTTTGCAGACAAACCCAGATATGAACCTGAATGTCCAAATCCACCCCACGCACTCTCCACTGAATCACACAGCTGCTCTCGAGTTCAGGAACCGCTGGAATCCTATTTTACTGCCATGACCTGAAGACTAGTCTGTAAACTGCACAGAGTCAAAGACACAACATTGCCTCCCAAGGCAGGGTCTACCGGAAGAGTTGAAGAGCTGGAGAAGAAGAGTAACATGAAATGAACAGCCAGGTCCCTTAAAGGGCAGATATAAAAGGGAAAACATGGCATCCCCAACACCCAAGGTTGTAGCGTTCCTCTTTCAGCAACAAGTTTATGCATATCAGAAAACAATTTTTAGACTTTCTGCCAAGAAGAATGCTGAGTTTCCCCATCTCAATCCTTGCCACTATCCCGTCTTGAATAATGAGCCTGGGCTAGAGCATGGTATGATACACATCCTTTTCTCTGAGTGGTACTGCCAGGTTTACCAAATAAAGTATACATGTTCTGACTGAAGGACTGATTGGAGGAGGACAAGGGAGGCAAGACCCTCCATTATACTTCTAGAACCCTGGGAGATATCGCAGTGCATAAACACCCAAAGGCAAATACAGACTTAGTGTCAAGTGTGTGCCTGCTGGTCACTAAAGGATCAGGTCCAAGACGGAGGGGCAGGCATCAAGGTTTTGTTTATTTATTTTAAACGTTTTCTATGCTGCCTTTCCACCCAAAGAGTGTCGTCCCCCCCCCCCAAGATTGCAACATGCAAGGCTGTGCAAACGCCTGGCAGTGTGGGAAATGAGTGGGTTATGCTCCTGGGCATGGAATTCAGGGTTGCTGCTTCCACACAAAAAATCTCAGTTAAGGCCACCAGCAAGTTTCTAGCCCGTAGGATTGTGAAGAGATACTTCAAAGAACATGGGCAGGGCCTTCTGAAATCCAAGCATCAAACCAGACGAGATGCTGGGAGGGTCCATGAACAGACATTTGGATTCTGGCATTTAAAAACAACAGAGAAGCCCTGCTGGATCAGACCGACTGTTCGTCTGTTTTGACATTCTTTTTCTCACAGTGGCCAACCGACTGCTTCTAGGAAGCCCATGATCAGGGGATGAGGACAACAGCCCTCCCCAACTGATTGCTCCCTAGCATTCAGAGGTATACTGATTCAAAACATGGAGGCTCCATTCATATGCCATAGTCCTGTCCTTGATGAATCTGAATAATTTCCTTTCAAACCCATACAAGCTGATAGCCGATACTGTATCCTGTCGAAGTGCATTTCATGAATCAGTCCTGCACTACAAAAAGGAGTGTTTTCTACCCTGAATCTGCTGGCTATCAGTTTCTCAAGGTGACCTTGAGTTCTTGTATTATGGAAGAGGAAGAAAACATCCTCAAACTCATTTCCTCCACAGCATTTATAACTTTATTAACATCTACCATGTATTTTCCTTTAGTAATTTTCTTTTTAAATTAAGGGTGCACCGTAGGTACCCTTGGCCTGGCAGTAAGTACCACTGAAAACAGTGGGACTTACTGCTGAGTAATTATGCATAGGATTGCTGTACTAAAAAAAGCTGTTCACATTCTTTAGCTCGTCCTTGTATGGGAAAATCTTTGGCTGCTCTTTTTCTGCCCATTTGCCACCAGTGCCCCTCCTTGCACTGTATGGAATCTGTGTTTTGGAGGATCCCATCTCCATACGCTGGCTGGACAAGATGTCTTATAATTCTGTCCAGCAACATCTGTTGCTTTATTTAGCAAACGATTCCCCGACGAGCAGCTTGCCTACACAGATTGCTGGACAGCTTGAACCACATCTCAACTCCAATTTGCTCTTTCTTATTGAGGTCACTGGCCCGCCAGAAATTTTTAACAAGTCAACAAACATACAGATACTGGAGTTCTCGATGCCCTTCACTGGTCTGACTGTGGTTACTAAAAGTCCTTGGTCTCATCTTTCCTACGTAAATTGTCAGTCCGTCAGTCAAGAGTTTATTGACTGTGGCCAAAGATCATGACAACTGAGCAGATAAAATGTACAAATCAAACATGGACAAAGAACAGCAGACGACAAGGCTATAGTGTTAAAACCAGGTAAAGGTTCGTCAAAACAAATTAGCACCTTCTTTGATCCACTGAGTCGGAAGGCAGACGTTGGGTCCACAAGTGCTGCAAACAGAGCCTTGGTGGGGCCCTTCATGCTCTGATGAACCAAGCTGCTAAACAGTCAGACAGTGATTTATAAGTCCTACCCCCAGAGGTCATTTCGGGGGGGGGATCGCAGTTCCCCCAGGTGAGGTACGGGGGGCGGGGCACATGACGAAGCCCCGCCCCCCGCTTCCGGCCACCCCGTTTCCGGCCCTCATTCAGCCAGGAGGAGGCAGGAGAAGAGGGAGGGTAAGTTGCTTCCTCCCTGCCTCTCCCCATCCCTGCCTGCCTGGGGCCAGGGAGGGCCTTCGCGGGGCTTCCTTGCACTCCCGCCGGCCAGCGGCCGGGACCGTTGGGGGCGGGGTGTGTGGCCTTATGACACACTTCCGGTGATGTCAGGGGGTGTGGCATATGCTAATGAGTTATGCTAATGAGTTCTCCTAGCTCTTTTTCTACGAAACGACCCCTGCCTACCCCTTTCCTGAACCCTGCTTGTTCAGGATGCATAGTTATTGGAGGCCTCCCAGTGGGGGGGGGGGGATGCTTTAGCGTTCAGCCAAAAACCCTATAGTCTCCAGAGAGTTTTTGGCTGAACGCTAAGGCATCCCCCACCCGATGTGCCAAACGCGATTATGTCACCTCCAGGTGCCGCCATTGTGCCGGGCACGTGGGGCACCATGGAGCTCTTCGGGGGCAGGGCTCTCCTGTCAGCCAGCCAGCTGGCCGGCAAGCAGATCAGAGGGCCCAAAATTGGGGGAACCTCCGCCACCATCGGGGGTGGGGGGTGGCAGCCCTATTTTAATGCTAATATTTAATGCAATTATTTGGGGGGGGGAGGTAGATTTCTTTTTCTATCCAGAAAACAATAATCATTTAAAAATGCACCGTCAAAACATATACAATTTCCAGCCAATTACCCAAAGTATATCCATGCTTCCCCCCCCCCCCCAGTAGGAAAAAAGCATTCAAAAACTCAGCAGGAGCTCTTGCGGCTTCTGTAGAATGCCTCAGAGTAAGAGTGTCAACCGTATGGCCTAGGGGCCAGAACCAGCCCATCCAAGGCTCTTATGTGGCCCGCGAGCAACTAGTGCAAGGGAGGGAACAGGAGACTGCTCAGGGGGAAGTGGGCGGAGCCACTCCGAATGTGGCTTCAGCATTGGCGGAACAAGCTCGTCTGCAGCAGTCAAGCAGCGTGGGAGCATCTGCCCAGGGCTGCACCACTGGCTCTCCGGTCTGCCCAAATGGGTTTTCCTTTGGAGCCCCCCTCCCAGCCCATGGGGCCTTGCAGTGAGGATACACCAAACTCGGAGCTTACCAGCTGCTGTCCTTCATACAGTTTCTATCTCCGGAACCTGGGATTACATTTTATGGCACACATGGCTTTGGCCAGACAAAGTGACATTTATGTCAGATCTGGCCCTCAAATGAGTTCGACACCCCCGCCTTAGAGAGAGAGAGACTGATCCTAATTTAGGAAGGGCACACCAAGAGCAAATCTCAGCCTCTCTGAAGGACCACCTCTCCACCTCCTTCCTGAGAGCCCCTCACTAGCTTATATCAGCTTTATTTATTAGCTGCCTTCCTTCCTTGCAGAGCTCAAGGCGGCTTACAACAGAGATAAAATACATAAAATAAAACACATTAAAAACATAAAAACCAAAATTTAAAACTGCCATTCAGAACTGTGAATAACCTTAACCAAAACCAGTACTAAATCAAATTGCCTTCAACTGCATCCTAAAGATCAAAAATGAGAACAGTGCACATCCCTGGGTAGACTGTTCCATAATCATGGGGCTGCCACTGAAAAGGCCCTCTCTTGCGTACCTACCAGGTGAGCTTCTTTGGCAGTCAAGAGGGCCTCTCCCTCTGATCTTAATTCCTGGGTAGGAACACACAGGAGAAAATGGTCGTTTCCCATGGGCAGGTACATGTTGCTTCCATGAGATCTGCAGCCTTTTCAGTGTAGGACCCAACCTTAAGAATGCCCTCCACAAATAGGTGAGAAGAGCACATTTTGGATTAAATCTGGCAAACTATGGTAGGTGGAGTATTTCAACAAGCTTCCATTTACATCTTTGAGACTTTTCCCATGGCAAATGGCTGTGATTTGTTTCGTCGATAGCTTTTAGAGAAATGAGCAGAGTTAGGTGCTTTGTCTCTTGACTTTGTTCTTCTTTCTTAAGCCACTTTGAGAGCTAGTTTGGTATAGTGGTTAAGTGCGCGGACTCTAATCTGGGAGAACCGGGTTTGATTCCCCACTCCTCCGCTTGCACTTTCTGGATGACCTTGGGCAAGCCGTAGTTCTGATAAGAGCTTTTCTTGAAAAAGAGCCGTTTCTGTCAGAGCTCTCTCAGCCCCACCTACCTCACAGGGTGTCTGTTGTGGGGAGGGGAAGGGAAAGGAGTTTGTAAGCCCCTCTGAGACTCCTTTGGGTAAGTAAAGGGCGGGGTATAAATCCAATCTCTTCTTCTTCTTCTTCTGAATGGCAGAGGGACGTATTTATAATAAAGTGATTGTGATTTGAGGGGGACGTCGCCAGGAGACAATCTCTGAAGTTCATGGGATCCTTACTCATGACTCTGCTGGTTCTCAGTAGGGGTGAAAAACAGGCATGATCTGGCACAGACACCATTCCAACTTGTTCAGCCAAAAAAAGTGTAACTGAAAGACCCTCTTGAGAGAATCACATCACTGGGCTAGAAACAGGAAGCTGATATTTCCTGTCTTGTACCGTTTTCTTCTAAGGAGGTGCCCTTTGCCTTATTGTATAAAATCTTAATGCAACTGACAAGCTTCCTGGGGAATAACATGATTCATTTTATCCTTTAAAAGAAACACAGGAAAGTCACAGGAAACCCAAATTTGGAGACTATTAAAAAAGTGACTTTGCAAAAGCAAACGCTGAGAGAGATCTTGTTCCCAAGATGAATAAAACAATGATCTAGCTTGATTTCTCAGGACAAGTAAGCATCTTGAATGTCAGCGGAAATTTTCATTTTTACCATAGGCAGCTTAAACTGGCTTCGGTCTTACTGCAGGGCAGCTTAAACGGGTTTCGTTTTGACCACAGGCAATTTAAACCGAGATCTTCCTGACAACCACCTCCAAAACCTCTTAACCACTGTCAGGTTTCATCTCACATATATAGCAGTGCAAAAAGGAAATGGAAAAAAAAATCTAGCTTTCTGCATAAATCGTAGCACATAAGCATCCTTTTGGAAACAAAAAGCCAATGATAATGACAAAAGACACTGCTGTTTTAGTATGGAGCTGGGGAAGGAAGCTTAGCAGATTTTGAAAACGGAGCCTTAAAATGTGGCTCGTGTAGGTCTTCCACTGGTGGGTCAGATCTATAAGTGGGACACTATCTGGGCTAAGGCAGCCTATATTAGAGACATTTTTTAGTATTTTGTTAAGAGAAAAGTTTGTGTAGCAGGCCATGGCCAGGGTCAAGGGAGGGGTTTAGCATCAGCCACCCAACCACTTTTTCGTGTCAGGATCCAGCTCCAGTTGACAACCACTTCCCTTCCCCGCCCCCCTCCGGTCTTTCAGCTTACATCAGAGGAAGGGGAGGCAGCAGTCGGGCAAATACACCCCAGTCATTGAGAGACCTGTCTCCATTCATGGAGCATCTTCATTTTATGGTTTTAATAGCTTCACTGTTTTTACAGGAGCCACTTTGAGAACATTTGTGTGGAAGGGTGATATACAGACATAGGAAAAAATAACCATGCATGTGAAGAGGATGTGAACATCGGAAGGATCCAGCACAGGAGTATATCAGGGTGCTCTAGAGCTCCCCTTCCGAGGCCTAGCTGTTTTTAAAAGAAATCTACAGGCATATTGTCTTCCTCCCAATTACTTTGCACATGTCAACTATCCCTTCAGATTTATTTATTTTTTACTAACCTGCTTTCGATCCCATTTCAAATCAGGAATGAGAACAAAACCATCGGTGGGATCTGGGTTTTCGTAGATAATTCTGTCAGCCTCAGCCTTCTTCTCCAGGATATTGTATACCCACTAGAAGAGATAATAATAATAACAACAACAGTAGCAGCAGCAACAACAACAGCAACAATAATAGATAAATCTACATTGGCAATCAACAGGGCAGCTCTCTTCCTCAGCATCCTGCTAATTTTGTTCTGCTCCCTGCAAGTGGAAATGCCATTGAAGATTTCGATATATACAAAGATGCATTTGGACCCATGGAAGAGCCGAATGATTCCACAGCTGATAAGCTTTGCAGTTAATTACCCATAAAACAAGCAAATGGCCTTGGCAAATCCCTCTAGGGGGCAAAGGGGGATCATTCGCTTAGGTACTCCATTACCCTCCCAGCCAGACAAATTAGGAGGTGTATCTGTTTTGTCTCCAAAGCATTAAGTGTCTTCCATGTCTGAAAACAGAACATTCAACTTAATAGACTTTTAGATGGCTTGATTCTGAAGAAGTGGCGCATTCCTAGGTAAGTGAATCTACAAACCATTATCCTTGAAATCAGCTTTGCTGACAGGAAACAACTTAATGTTGTTGGGTTGGGGCTTTTTGGAAGGGGGGGAGGACAGACATAATATAAAAGCGACTACAAGGCCTGATACAGAAATTAATAAAGCGAGGCAATGATGACAAATGGGGATTTCAGAACAGTAACTGCCATGGCACATCCAGGCTTGCAAGTATGCTGTTTAATTAGAAACCTGGGCTCCTGTATGCCTAAGGTACCCACCTACAGATGAGGCTGCCTGCTGCTTCTCTGCATGCCCTCAGCTTTGCCATAATCAACCTTTGCTGGAGACAGGCTATTCTGCCAAGTCTCTGCACCGGATCTGAGTGGATCATTCAATCACTTCAGATGCAGACACAGAACAGAACTGCCAGCTTTTGGGGGGAGACATCAGCGTGATTCGCCGCCCAACTTCGTTGCTACCTTCTGTGCAATGTTCCCTCTAAGCTGTGGAGTCCTGTGAGCAAAAATGCCACTTTGTGAGCTACTGGCATTAAAGACTACAGTTATGAGGTACCAAGTTATTTGGCTACGGCATAAATTAGTTTGCTCTGGAGCCATTCTTCCTGAGCTAAGACAAAAATGTGTGAGCTGGAGGCTAAAAAACTGTGAGCCAGCTCACACTAACTCAGCTTAGAGGGAACACTGCTTCTGTGAGCAGTTGAGGACCCAATTCCACACCCCCAAAACTGAAGTGAATTATTTACTTTCTTACTTCATTTATAGTCCAACCTTGTCACTGAGGCTCAAGGTAGATCACACCATTAAAGAACAATGTAATCAGAGTGGTAGAATACAATCAACAATGCAATAAAATGGAACTACAAGATTAGAGAGTGGATGAATCACGAGCGGGAATTAAGATTGCTGGGGAAAAGATCAACAATCTCAGATATGCAGACGATACCACTCTGATGGCAGAAAGTGAAGAGGACCTTAAGAGCCTCTTGCTCAGGGTCAAAGAGGAGAGTGCAAAAGTGGGCTTGAAGCTCAACATAAAAAAAACTAAGATCATGGCATCCGGCCCCATCACTCCTTGGCAAATAGAAGGGGAAGTCGTGGAAGTAGTGACAGACTTCACGTTCCTGGGATCCCAGATCACCGCAGACTGTGACAGCAGCCATGAAATTAAAAGACGCCTGCTCCTTGGAAGGAAAGCGATGGCGAACCTAAACAGCATGATAAAAAGTAGAGACATCACCCTGCCAACAAAAGTCCGCATGGTCAAAGCAATGGTATTCCCAGTAGTCATGTATGGCTGCGAGAGTTGGACTATAAAGGAAGGCCGAGCGCCGAAGAATAGATTCTTTTGAACTATGGTGCTGGAGAAGACTCTTGAGAGTCCCTTGGACTGCAAGAAGATCAAATCAGTCAATCCTAAAAGAAATCAACCCTGACTGTTCCCTGGAAGGCCAGATAATGAAACTGAAGCTCAAATTCTTTGGCCACCCAATGAGAAGGGAGCACTCACTGGAGAAGACCCTGATGCTGGGAAAGATTGAAGGTCAAAGAAGACGGGGATGGCAAAGGACGAGATGGTTAGACAGTGTCATAGAGGCAACGAACATGAAATTGAGCAAACGTCAGAGGACGGCGGAAGACAGGAAAGCCTGGCGGGAGCTGGTCCATGGGGTCACGAAGAGTCAGACTCGACAGTGCGACTGAACAACAACAACACATTACAGTCTATCGACTACAGTAAAACAGTACCTCGCATATAACATACAATGAAAGAAAACTCCTTGGAGGCAATGGTAGGTATTAGAGTCTTAAAGTAGCGTGTCAGGACTGTTAAATTTGAAATGGGTTATGGGTTTGTTAAGGACCCTGGCCAGGGGCTCCATGGGTTCACAGACAGTTCCCAAAGAACCAACAAGAGAGATCTGGGTTTACTTATAAGGAGATCTTTAATAACCCGTCAAAGTTATCAAAGCAGAGGTGGGCTAAGCTTCAATCAGCTGGCCTCGAGAGTCCACACACACACACAGAGCGAAGCTTAGCCAAACCTTGAGACCAGGAGCATAACTAAAATTAGGCACCTTGTACCCTAAATGCTGTCTGTGAGTCAAAGAATGATTAATGAAGCTATCCCAAACACCTGGATGAGCCAGGCTGACACCTGGCTTCCAGTGGGCGGAAGAAACAACCCAGGCATGGAAGATGAGCGCTGCTAACAAGCATGAGAGACAGAAAGTTCCCCTGAGAGGAAATAACACTGTCCTCTCCCAAGACTCAGGACCACTAAGCACCAGCATGTAGCAAAGATGGAGTCACTCAGGCCAATGCAGGGTTGTTGCTACTTATTCATAAAGACTGCTTTACATCATTGCAAGGAAAACTTACAGATTCTAAGTTTACTTTGGATTTGTCAATGTGCTTGCCAGTTCACCTACTAATGAGCTCTATAAAATAATTAAGAACCGTATTTTAAAACTGGACTATAAGAGTAGTTTCCTTTGCTTTATTCATTGTATACCCTATTCCGTTGTACTGTTCCTCTAATTCTGTAATCCAGTTTTACTTACTTTAATTATACTGTTAAATCCACAGGGGCTACAGCAGGGCAATGATACAATCAATATGGGGTTGCAAAAAACTTTGCCATACAGAGGCTAACATTGAAATCAGAATCCGAAAGAAGCCAAATAATCTTAGATTTGATAGTCGTACTAGACTCCAAAATTAGAGAAAATAAAGGCAAAAGAAACTTCTTTCTAGCTTCAGCTCTTAGCGGGCAAACAAATTATGTGCTATAGTCTCATCCTGTGGACAGTAGGCTTCCAGAGGTTGAAAGTTGGCAGCTTTTGACATTTGCCTCTGAATGTAAAGGGAGTAGAGTCATAGTTAATGTCCATGATGTTTTAGGTCGGGGGTGTCAAACATGTGGCCCGCAGGCTGGATGCGGCCACACAGGGCTCAAAACTGGACCCCCCAAATAGCTTCCTTCTGCTTCTTTTCCCAGGGCTGCTCCTGCAGCCGCACCCGAGCTTGCTTTTCCCCAGCTCTCTCAGTGGCTCTTTGCTTCCTGTTTCCTGTTTCCTGCCCCTCTCTCTCTCTCTCTCTCTCTCTCTCTCTCTCTCTCTCTCTCTCTCTCTCACACACACACTCACACACACACTTGGATTTGTCCTTACATCTTGGAGAGTGGAGTGTTTCAGATGCCAAATGATAATAGCACACATTGGTAATGCGACAGGAAAACTAGGTCTCAATCCAGTCCAAGAGGATGCAATTCAGCAGTCTCTCTTTCTAATCTCCCTTTGAAATTCCTTTGTAAAAGCACTGCTACTCTTAGGTCAGCAACTGAATGCTGTGGTTTCTAACATCAGACTTATGTCCATTTATTCTTTGCATCCTCCTGGACAGAACTGAGACCTAGGTTTCCTGTCTCATTACTAATGCTGATATCTCCACACCTACTTCCCCTCTGCATATCACACCTAACTCAATCATGCCTGAAATCATATTTATGAAGTTTATGTCTCTGTTACCTCATGTTACATTTTATGGCACGCATGGCCTGGCACAACAAAGTTACATTTATGTCAGATCCGGCCCTCATAACAAATGAGTTTGACTGCTCTGTTGTCCATGGTAATTCTCCCACCAAATCATTCCTCAGACTACAGTTATGAAATATTTCTACACATACGCATACCGGCTGCACTGGCCCCATGGCTTATCAGCACTGTAGCACTGATGTGTGTGTGTAAAGTACTGTCAAATCGCTGCCAACGTACAGGTTTTCAAGGCAAGAGACGAACAGAGGTGGCTTGCCATTGCCTGCCTCTGCAGAACGACCTTGCCTTCTCTGGTGGTCTCCCATCTTAGTACTAACCAGGCCAACCCTGCTTAACTCCCATATCTGATGAGATCTGGCTAGCCTGAGCCACCCAGGTCAGGGCGTGGGAGGTGAACTTTAATATGACCCATAGGGTCTCTTCCTCGGGCAGACCAACATCACTTACATCTGAGGTCTCCAACTTTTTTGAGCCTGGGGGCACCTACGGTGTTTCGAAAGGCAATGGGAGGGGGGAACCACAACAAAATGGCTGCCTCAGGAGGCAGAGCCTAGAATGTATACACACAAACACGGTAGGGGGAGGGGGAATAATACACACAGAGAGAAGACGACCAGGGGATGAGGAATAACACACAGAAAGAAGACAACAGTGGGAATACCCCCCCAAAGGCCAACACGGGGAGATGGGGAAGGGCCCCTTTGTTTGTATGAAGGCAGCCATTCACAGGTCCTGTGTTCACACTGACCCCACCCACTTCCCTGAAACATCTGGTGGGCACCAGTAGAAGTGCCAGTGAGCGCCATGGTGGTCCATGTGCACCAGGCTGCAGAAAGCCGGCTTAGACGAGCATACATTCTCTCTCCTTTACTGGAGTCTAACAGATTGCTGTGCATGATCATTGGTAGGTACAGTTTACACTGGCAGGACAGACGCCTCTAAAAAAACCCAAAGTGGTGAAAACACATCTGAGAGCATACTTGGAGCCTGCAAAGCAATCTCTGCTTTTTTGCAGCTGTACATGATTAGACAAACACCACAACAATGAACATCCCCCACTTTAAGCCTGGAGTGCAGCGGTAGAACAAAGCTTGTAGTTAGGTTGGGCTGGCCTCAATGGGAGCTCTTTGGCTCCACTTGTAGCCTTTCAGAACATTATGTGTCGCTCACAGGCCTTATGAGCCTACAGGAAAAGGTGTCTGCTCCATCTGCTGAGACCAACAGGCCAAAGCTGGTTCAAAACGGACACTGCGTTCCTCGTTTTTAATTTCTTAAAAAAAAAGAGATTTGAGGCTTAAACCTTTCTGGAAGGTACCTTGGGCAAGAGTTCCATCCCCATAGGTCAAGTATATGATAGTGAATGTCATCAGTGAATGAAAAGGCTGCTCTCTACATGTTGGAAGGCAGCCTTATCTTCATCTTCTGTTCACAAAAAGACATTCTGACCTTAAGAACATCATCCAAGGCCAACAGGAAACTTAATTAATTCAAGACATGCCTGGAATTTTACTTTTCATATATGACTTTTATACATTTTAACCCCGCTATCCTGAGACAGAGTTAGTAACGAGTATAACCATAAAGCCTTTATATTTTTTTTAAAAAAATTCACAAGGTTCTTAAAGGGCAGCACATTGACATTAACCGTGATGACACAGGTGCTAGCCAATAGGTGCACATGGCACACAAATGTATTCCACCTTACTGATTATCACGATGGACATGCTAGCAATATACTGACAAAATGCTGAGAGAACACAAATAGTTCCATGAGAGCAAAAACTTTTGAGTTCACTGCCCAAAGGAGAAACCATTGTATATTTATTGTGCTGAAAAAATGCTGACCCATAGAAGATTATCTCCAAGGACACAATTACCACCAAAGTAGCAACAATCAGCCTAGGACAACAAAAGATGACATAGGAGTTGACATAGTGTTGATCTCTCCTACAGAGAGTTTCTAAGCAGTTCAAATATCATCACTACTGTAACCTCAGTCATGTCTTCCTTCCTTAAAACTCTGCAAACATTAGCTAATGAATTAATCACAATGCCAAAGTGCTGTGGTATTTCTGAAATAATTATGCCCCACATTGTGCAATCAGCCAGCGTTGCTCCCATGAAAGCAACAAAGTGCTCATCCTTGTAAAACTGAAGTTGGAAATGCACTTTTCTGACTACAAAGAACCCCAGAAAGAGAGGGCGAGGAGGTACTAAGCTCCACAAACTTTCCTCCTTGTTCCAAAAAACCCCCAACAAAGCCTTACAAGGTAGTCTCACCTAATGTTATTTATTTACTTCATGTACACCCCACCTTAGACCCATATGCAGATCCAAAGTAGCTTGCACCATTCTGCTCTTCTCCACTCTGTCCTCACAACAGCCCTGTGAGGTAGGGTAGGCTGAGAGCGTGTGACTTGCCCAAGGTCACCCAGCAAGTTTCCATGGCAGAATGGGGATTCAAAGGAGAGGCATCTCAGATCCCGGTCCGACACTCTAAATTCTATGCCACACTGGCTTTCTACATCACTGCCAAAGGCCACACACAACTAGCATGTGATCTGAGCCTAGATCCAAGTCCAGTTCTCTGCTCTAAAACGGGCCCCGTTTCCTAGCTCAGTTTTCTCTCCCTTCTTCAAACGCTCCCCCCCCCCCCCCCCCCGCCCCCAAAAACAAAATCCACCTCATCCAACTTAGTCCTCACCCTGATGGAAATGACACCTAAGAGGACAAACTAGGCAGGATAGCAGAAGACCTCCGGTTTGGTTTCTCTTGCTAAACAGTGGTAGGAGGGGTACAATTTGGATCAGGGTGGGAGGGTCTAACTTCTTCCCACCAGACCACTGTTCTGATTTCAAACAACTTCCTGGAGTTACTATTTGCCCTGCTGGGGACAGATTACCGGCTTGCTGCTTACATGTCTCCTTCCACAGGGCAAGACAGCAGTTCCCAGAAGCTGTCTGAGGTTAAGAAAACGCATAGGAGTAAGGAAGGAAAATTAACATACCCCACCATGCTTTAGCCCTGAGCCTAACTGGCCTCCCCTCACTTTCTCCCAGCAGCTGTTACTGAGCAACAAAAAACACGCTGAACAGCCAAGTCCACTTTTCCCAGGGGTCTTGCCTAGCTTGGCCCCCTTAGCTCTGGCTTCTCCCATTCCCCGGCGGTTTCCCACAAAGCCAGTTTGGTATAGTGGTTAGGAACGCAGACTCTAATCTGGGAGAACCGGGTTTGATTCCCCACTCCTCCACATGCAGCTGCTGGTGTGACCTTAGGTCAGTCATAAGTCCTTTCAGAGCTGTTCTTTCAAGGGCAGTTCTCGAGAGAACTCTCCCAGTCCCACCTACCTCACAGGGTGTCTGTTGTGGGGAGGTGAAGGGAAAGGAGATTGTAAGCCACTCTGAGACTCCTTCGGGTAGTGAAGGGCAGAGTATAAATCCCATCTCTTCTCTTCTTCTCTTCTTCAGCCGTAGTTCTGATAAGAGCTGTTCTTGAACGGCTCTTATCAGTTTCTGTCAGAGCTCTCTCAGCCCCACCTACCTCACAGGGTGTCTGTTGTGGGGAGGGGAAGGGAAAGGAGTTTGTAAGCCGCTCTGAGACACCTTTGGGTAGTGAAGGGCGGGGTATAAATCCAATCTCTTCTTCTTCCTGACTTTGACCACTCCCTTTCTCCTTGGCCCTGGTTCTCTCCCAATTAAATGCTGATTATAGGCTTCTTGGGAAAGGGACCTTCTTTTTGCTTACACAGCTCTGTGAAGCACCACGTAGACCAAAGGACTGTATTGTATGTGGGGCTGAAGGTGAACGCCTGCCTCAGAGGGCATAGGTGACCAAGCTTCTCCTACCCATGAGTCAAAATCAGAGGGACCAGCCTCCTCACTGGCCCAATTCCCCACGTGGCTGTGAAGTTACCAGCAGTCAGCTGTGGTGGCAAGGGGGCCATCGAAAGCTACTGTTCATGTCCTCCGGTAGGATGCTTGAGCGGAACACTCCCCAATCCCGTACCTGAAGAAGTGAGCAGTGACTCACGAAAGCACATCCCCTGCCACAGATTTTGTTAGTCTTTGAGGTGCTACTGGACTCTTGCTTTTTTCTACTGCTACAGACAGACTAACACATGTTGATCTCACTTCCCATCCTGAGCAGCTGAGTCAGAAGTCTTCTAGATGCTCCCTGAGGGATATGGCTTATCTGGATTTTCAGGGCGCGTTTGGGATGCTCGTGTACAAGCAATACTGCCAACTAGCAATGCCATCCTCCAGGCAGGGCCTGGAGGTCTCCCAGAATTACAAACAACCTCCAGACTGATCTCCAGACTCCAGTTCCCCTGGACAAAAGGGCAGCTTTGGAGGGTGGACTCTATGGTATCACATCCCCACTGGCCTCCCCTTCCCCTCACCAAACTCCAAACTGCCCAGGCACCAGATCTCCAGAAATTTCCCAAGCCGGAGTTGGTAACCCTACTGCCGGCACCTCCAGGATGGTCACGGAGACGATAGCAGCACGGCTCCTGGCATTATCATAAACAAACTAACTGAATGAATGCTGAATACCACCAGAAGCCTGATGAAATTGCATCCAACAAAAAGGCCAAGTGAATTTCTAAATCATATAAGTGCTCATAATTATCCCTCTAAGAGCCTGAGTCATAGAAGCCTGTCTTCTGCAATTAGTCCCTGAAAAGGCATAGATTGGACTGGGGAATTACATCCCATACCTGAATGCTGAAGCTCTGTGATTCAATAAAAGGCAGTGTAATGGTCTCGTAATCAGCCCCAGTCTCCTGGATAAGATACACTTCTCGGCGCAGGTATTTCTGAAGATGCTTCTCCGTTGCTGGGTACACCACGGTTGTCTTTATCTCTGGAATGAGAAAACATGTTTACACAGCGTCATTATCACTGTAGTCGAAGCCATTCCTTTTGTGGCCTTCATTCATTTCAACCGCTGTCCCTATGAGATTTGCTAAGGTCTACTTTGTCTGTGAAGTGGACAGTGTGGTTGCCGCCAAAACCCACTTCCTACCAATACTCAACTCCAGCCCACCCCAAGGATCCTGAAACTGAGAACCTGAGGAGCTTGGCCTATGCGCCACCACCCAGCCCTGGTCAGAGGAGAGAACTACAAGCAGATCAGCCACAACAATGAGTCTTCGTCACAACTGGTTTACTTATGAAGCTACAGGCACAACAGGGGCATAGAAGCCCATGCACAAACAGAGACAGCTAGTCACATAAAAGCCAGCACAAGCTCTCTGGAACCCCCCAAAATCCTTTTGCTCCCCGTAAAAAAAATGGCTTCTATCACGATTTCTTTGCTTACCCTCCGCCACCCAAATCTGGCTCGAACCCTTCTCCTGCTGTGACAGATGGGTATGACTTTTATTTCAGGTGCTGGGAACAACTAACTGTTGGTTAAGGTGTCCATTGTAGTCAATGTGTCATGTCCAAGAATGTATGGCACCATAATGCAAGACACGGGGCGTAGTTAAGGACATTGACAACATACAGCCAAAAATATGCAGGGAAGTTTGCATGGGGTTTTTAAAGGTATATTTTAAGCCTAGGGTAAGTACATAAAGACGGATGTGGCAAGCATAGAAGCTGACAGAATTAATTCATGCTTGCCACAAAGGTAAATTCAAGAGGATGAAGTCCAAAGTACTCAGAGAGAGGCTCTCTTTCTCTTCGGTTCTTGAGAAGACTAGTTGCTAAAAACAAGTTGTCCAGAAGTTCCCAGTGAAGGATGGGTGGGAAGGGACAACCTGGTAAAAATATGTTTTGTGTTGCTGTTTCTCTGAGTGACAGTGGAGCACAGCACCATGAGAAATCTGGATGGACAGGACCAATTCCAAGGCTGACGTTCTCAAACATGAGTTGTATAAAATCCATACAAACAACACTGTCCATCGAGAAAACAACTGGGCCAAAGAAAAACCAACTCAAATCCCTAATGGTCTCAAGAGTACATGGGGATGGACACATCACGCAGGTGGCTGACTTGGGGTTCCAAAAGTTCCATTTGTGTGTGTGTGTGCTGGACTCGATTCATGTGGTCAGCTTTTCCCAGTGGAAATCCAAGCCTGCTGCTAAAGAAGCCAGGTGTCTAGAACAACAAAGAAGAGGCAGCACAGGAGGAGACTGGCCATGTGCTCCTTTTAAGACTGATTGCTGTCACACTGCAAAGCCAGCATACAATAAGACCATTCTTCATGACCTGAGAGTGGCCTCCACAGCTGGGCTGTTGTGAGGCCTCAGATGTGCAAAATCAAGGCTGGCCCTTAGGGAAGGAGGTACAGTTTTGGCAATGCTACATAACATCCTCCAGTTCCGTTCATGCCCTTGTCGGCCTATGTGTTCCTGTCTATAGCAACCTATTGTCAGCAAGCTGCCAAATGTTTCCTACTTTCGATTTTATGCGCATTCCTTTCCTTACGCTTAATTGCTTTGCAGCAGGAACGTGTATCTTTCAAGGCCGCAGGAGGAGAGGCGCTGGATAAGTTGCTTGGGTTATCTCACGGAGTTGCCGTGGGAAGAGTACCTGTTATGCTTAGTAGTACCGTTAGTTTCTCAGGCACGTGCGGGAACTCCCGCAATTGGGCCTCATCGGTTTGAATGCACTATAACCTGTCATGCTGTTTGATTCCACGTCATTCCTAACAGTGATCCTGTCAAGACACCTTTCACTTCAATAAAAGTAAAACCTTTCTATAAGTGTGTACTTCGTTGATGCTGTGGGGACCTGACACCTATTAAGATGCTCTGACATGATTCCCAGAATTCTTTACTTCGTCACATGGCAAGGAACAATATCTCGGGTCTGTCACTGTGCCTCTTTACCGATGGATGATTGATGGTTCATCAGTTGGATTTTTTCCCCTTTAACATTAGGTTAAGGGTCAAGTATAAAAACAAAATTCAGTGCCACTTACTAATGGCATCTAGTCAATAAACTAGGTAGGAAAGATATTAAAGGAAGAATTCCTCAAGTGGGAAAGGGTATCAATGTTTCTCGAAAGAACATTCATGCGGCAAATCTGGCGTTTCTACAAGGTACATCCTTCAACAGAACAGCCATTTAAACTGAAGGAGCGCTTCTGAGGTTGTTTACATGCCACTGTTTCTTGCATCTTTCTTTGCAGGTTTGTGCTGCTGGCTGATTTTCGTAATTGAGAACTGGTGTGGAGTAGCGGCTAGGGCACTGGATTAGGGCTAGGGGAGACCCAAATGCAAATCCCCAGTCAGCCATAAAGTTCAATGGGTGCCCCTTGGGCACCATCGTCTCTCACAGCCCTTCCTACCTGACAGGTCAGTTAGGAGGATAGATGAGGGGAGAACCTTGTGTGCTGCCTTGAGCTCCTTGGAAGAAAAACAGGATTAAATAATGGGATCGATTTCAAAAATCCCTACTGAGACAGGCTACCTAAAATCGTGGTTGTTAAAGCTAAAACAACCCAACCACATTTAATTGACACCTTTGGGATTTTAAAAGGAGGAGGGTTGAGCCACGGATGGCCTTTGGATCAGCTCTGAACCACAAGAACATGGCCTTTCTGGGCCACGATGGTGGTGGAAACTCCATGGAGTCCATGGAGCTAACTTATGGTGACTCCATGGAGTTTGCAAGGCAAGAGATGTTCAAAGGTGGTCTGCCATTGCCTGCCTCTGTGTAGCAATCCTGGTATTCCTTTGGTGGTCTCCCATCCAAATACTAATGAGGGCCAACCTTGCTTAGCGTCTGAGATCTGATGAGATCAGGCTAGCCTGGGCCAACCAGGTCAGGGTCATGATACAGTTCTGATAATCCCCCAATCCTTTTCCACGGTGTGTTGCTAGTCCTCACAACCGCATATAGAGTATCAGACTTTTGGAATCCTTCTCAGGATAACTGATTAAAATCTCAAGGGGGCAGACTGAAATCTCAAAATAGTCACACACTTGATGGCTTCTTTTAAGACTTCTATGCATGCCTCTTTGGGATAACTTCTGAAACGCAAACTGGAAAATGAAGGCGATAATGAGGCACTAACAGCGTGACTATATCTCACATTTAGCATGCAGTTAATCTCCACATTATTTTAATGAGTCTGTGTGGTGAATAGTCCATTTCTTCAAAGCCAAAGGACTGCAACAACACACACTCACGGAAACCGTACGGGACAGTCCTAGTGGGGGGTGCGAGTGCTATTATCCACATGGCCATTCAGTGTGCTGCCACCAGTCCCCGCCCCATGACATCAGCAAGCCCTGCCCCATCAACCCCAGAGTTTGGGATTCTGGGGGCCTTGCAGCATGAAGTCTGATATTGTATTAACAATACATGAAAGAAATAAAGCAATTTCAAAACCCTTTGCTGGTTTCCTTTTCCCACTCAAGCTTTATAAAAACCTTGGCTCTTCGTTTACCTCATTTTCTCTCTATGCCTTACGCCTCCCCGTGGCCTGAATGAATTGCCAGCCTCCTGCTCACAGCCGGCTGAGTTACCAACTGCTGGTCAGTTTCCTGATACATCCTGTTTAGTTTATTACATTAATGAGGCATACTCATGGCCGCACGGGCTAGAATGTCCCTTCAGCTGCTGTTCTTGAGCTACAGCAACACTGGGAAGACAGCAACCCCTGACCGGCTTCCATTTCAAGGCAGAATCTGTTAGTTTCCTCACGAATTAACTTGTGGGTTGACTGCGGTGCTAATGAACTTACGATATCCCAGGGAATATTTGAAAACTGTCAGAAGTGGGAGGCTGCTATTTGCACAGACAGCAGGACCGGTTTCTACCTCCTCCCATTTGAGAAGAGGCAGCCTCGCATCTTGACCCCCTGAAATCAACGGTTTCAAGCACCAAACTCTGTGTGACACTACAACCTTGGCTTTTTGCTTGGTCACAAAGCCAAGGGTCTGCAGAGCATCCAGCTACGCTGTCAAGAACACAACCATTATTCTCCTAAGATAAAATCTGGTGAGTGCTTTTAAAAGAGAGAACCATCATTTTCTTCCTTTGTCCTTAAAAAAAAAAAAAAAAGAGCAAATCCCAAGCTTTTGTTGACTGGGGGGCGGGGAGAACCCTCTGAAAATATAAAGTCATATGCTGGGACTTCTTGAGCTCAATCTGGGATGTGGGGGGGGGGGGAAAATAGACATTTATCTTTAATTCCTCCGCACCTCTCACTGATGAATCCTATTCCCCTTACAGGCAGGTATCTCAGGCACCTAAAATTCTGTTCCTTCTTTATTCCCCATTGTTCTAGTTAGGGTTGCCAACCACCAGGTGGGGCCTGAAGATCCCCAGACTACTGAGATTAGTTTCCCTGGAGAAAATGGTTGCTTTGGAGGGTGGACTCTGTGGCATTATACTTTGCTGAAGCCCCTCTCCTCCCCAAACTCCACAGTTTCAGTCTTTGATAGGGGGCAGAAGTCCCTTTACTCCCCACTGAAGAACATAGCAGGCAACACCTACTATCTAGAAACTCACTAATAGGTAGAACAACTTGAACTTTCCTTTAATAAGCCTCTCCGTGTACATGACCAATGTGCAGGTATGCAACAGCTGGTACTGGCAGCTGATGAGAGAATTCTGTGCAAGAGACGGGGTTCCCTAGATGCACTCAGTCAGACTGGGCAAGCTATTCTGGAGCATCTTGCTTATCACAGTGCTTCCTCCAGAGGAGGTGGCTGTGGAGAATCAGGATTTTTTTCACTCTTGTTGTGGTTTAACATAATTTAAGTATAAGAATACATGATGGGGGGACAAAGTGGTGGCAGTGGGGGAACAATTTAAAAGGAATTTTGGCCAGAATGTGTCCAGGTCATAGATATCTTGGGTAAAATATTGGAAGCTGCTATTTGTGGCTCGATGGAAAATAC